AAGAACCTGTGCTGGACCTGAGTGCCATGTGTTACAAGGAAAAGACTACAGTCTGTCCTCCACCTAGTGGCCCAAACCTTTGTCCTGGACACTCATGGCTTTCTTGGTGCCTCCTCCTGTTAGAGACTCCCGACTACCAGCTTGGCATGGGCTTGGGAGGTTTAGCAACTACAGCTCGGAGCCTCTATAGGGTGGCCCTACTCCTGCCAGGTGGTGCCAGGGCTCCTGCCTAGTCCCACTGGCTTTGGAGTAGGTTGGATGTATGTTCAAATCTTCAGTAATGCCTCCTTCCAGCAGAATGACCCTGAGCAAGTGACTGTCCCTCTCCAAGCCTCAGTTTCCCTGGCTTGGCATGCTGCGCTTCCTGGCTTAAATCAGGGGTCCTGGGCTATCTGATTCAAAAGGACCCATAGGGGTGACCTGGTCCTCTCCTCTGACCTGCAGCTTAGGGACGTGTACATTCTGGGTATGATTGTACAGCCAGCATTGGGAGTGCTGTCCTGGAAATGAGACTTAGAGTCAGACCGCAGCGGGGCCTCCCCTGTTTTTTGTACATGGGGACACTGAGGCCAGCAGATGGACAATGAACTGCCCAAAGCTATTCAGGAAGTCGTTGATAAAGCCAGCCCTGGCATGGGGGAGGGGAGGGGCTTCAAGAGAACCTGAGTTCTCTTGAACCTACACATCATCTTCTAGGCAAGGAACCGAGTCAGCTAGTGTTACCCCACCTTCCTCCCCACGTATTGATGTCCTCTTTGAGGGTTCCCCACCCTGGGGGTCCCAGAGGACTAGGACCAGGTACCAAGTTCCAAACCTACAGGGCAGGCAAAGCTGCAGGACCTCTGTGATCATTAACCTGAAGCCAGGGACCCTGGACTGGTGGTCACTGACCCTGGGGTCTAAGCTGAGCCACCGTGGCCTGTTAATCACCAACTGGGCAAGTTCCAGCCACACTGTTCTGTAAGGGGGGCTGCTCAGCCAGACAGGCGGGCTGTCGCCTCAGGTCCCCTTTGTGGGGCTGAGAGGATAAGGACGTTTCCTCTTGATGTTCACTTGCATTTTCTGAATTGTCTAAGAAGCAAGTATCCCTTTAAGTCTAAAAAGCATTGTTTCTCTACTGGGTATCAGTGAGCCATACCTATAATCCTAGCTTATCAAGAGGATGACATCTGAGGATTGTAGTTCAAAGACAGGTAGAGCAGGAAAGTAAGGGAGACTCTTTATCTCTTAACTAACCAGCAGAAAAGCCAGAAGTGGAGCTGTGGCTCCAATGGTAGAGTACCAGCCTTGAGTTGTAATTGCTGAGGGACAGAGCCCAAGCCCTGAGTCCAAGCTGTAGTACTGGCATACACACACACACACACACACACACACACACACACACACATACACATAAAAGATTAGTGACCTATAGGAAAAGAAAACTATATTGAATGCATGCTTTTGAAGTTTTTAATACCTACAGCAATGCTTTTTGAAAGTTTTTCAATGATCATCTTTAAGTAGTCAGATAAATGGGACTCAATTCAGCATGTCAACTTGAGTATAACACATCTGAAAACTTTTTCCCCGCAAGTGTCATGAGGTATACTTTGCCTGTCATACATAATTCGTTCACTGTGAGTGTACAGTTCCATGATTTTACTAGATTCTATCGTTTGTGTCATTCTCACTGGAATCCATCACTCTGGAAAGAGTGCTGATAATTGCAGTGATCTGGGTATTTCCTTCAGCTTCAGGCAAGCCTCGCCATGTCCTAGAGTGAAATCTTCTCTTTCATCCTTTCAAGCGGGCTGCCTGAACAGTTTAGTGTTTATTGACTTCTTGTGGGAGGTCTGTGAAAAGAGGAATAGGAGAAATTATTGTTCTACAGTTTGCTTTTTTTGTGTGCACCTGGACATGTCTCTGAGCTTATTGAGTGCCTACTGTGCGCCTGGCACCATCGAACCAAACTCATTCTCCCCTCCCTCCCCCCACAGCTGCACAGTGGTTCATTGTATGGCAGCTCTATAATTTATTTAAGCCAGTATACTTGGATCTTTCCCAGTTTCCTCCAAACAATGCTTCAGTGAACATCCTTGCACGTATATGTTGGTGTTCATCTGTAAGTAATTCTGTAGGAAATGTATGCTTTGAATTTAAACAACCAACTTGCTCTCCAGAGAGGTGAAACTGGCTTATGCAGCCATCAAGTAGGCATGAGCAGTGGGCTTAAACCTCCTGGGAGGAGGGGAGACACTCTGAGTCTAGCCCAGGTGGGTCCTCTGCAGGCTTCATGGGCCTGAGGGTGGGCATACCCAAGCCATGGAACACTTGAGAACTCAACATCCCTCTAAGGCTCTCCACAGATGCTCAATGAAGTCGACTCTTCAGTGTGATTCATAGGTCTCTGGGGCACCTGCCTCCCTGGCCAGCCTCATCTCCTCGTATCCCCTACACATCAGCTGACCCTCATTATTCCCTGGACATGGCCTGTGTTTGCCTGCCCTTTGCCCAGTCTGTTCCCTCCACTTCAAGGCCCAGATTACAAGTCCCCTCCTCCACGAAGCTTCTTCCTATGGTGGCAGTTGCCTTCTTTCCACTCTGTATTCTCTTAGCCTTTGATCTGAGCCCCACTTCCCCCTTAAGGAGGAGGAAGTTGTGGATGGGGAAGAGCAAATTTCAGCCACATTAGATAAGAAGCCTTCTAACCTGGGTTCCAGGAGGAGATGGGATGGGTGACTGTTTGCCCAACTGCAGGCCAGGCTGTTTTTATAGGAATAATCTAACCCTAAGCAAGGGCAATGACCTGCAGTAGATAGGGAACCAGAAGTATGGAAAAAAAGCAAGTAATGGACAGGAATCTAGCCCAGGTCTTCAACTTCTTACTTGCCATAATGTGTGGGAGAAGATTGAGACTCTCCCTTGCCCAGGAGAGTGGGTACAGAGAAAACAGGCTACCAGCTCAAGACGCATGGGCTTCTTATCTGCAAGACATGAATCTAAAGGGTTCCCCATGGGAAGACATAAAGAGTATCAAAAAAGAACAACGTTGTACATGGAAGTAACTTCAGGTTTTGTTAAAAATAAACCTTTTTAAAACAGATGCATGTTTTGGGATATGGGTGGCTCACGCCTGTAATCCTAACTACTCAGGCTGAGATCTGAGGATCACAGTTTGAAGCCAGCCTGGGCAGGAAAAGCCCAAGAGACTCACCTCCAAGTTACCACAGAAAGCCAGAAGTGGAGCTGTGTGCTCAAGTGGTAGAGTGTTAGTACCTTAAGCAGAAAAAGCTCAGGGACAATACCCAGGTGCTGAGTTCAAGCCCAAGTACTGGCACCAAAAAAACAAAACAAAACAACAACAAAAAGCAAAACAAATGAATGTTATTTAAAGGCTGGGCACTAGTATTTCATGGCTATAATTCTAGCGACTCAGGAAACTTGTAGTTCGAAGCTAGCCTGGGGAAGGAAAGGCCATGAAATTCGTTTTTTTTAAAATTGTTATTGTAAAGATGCTGTACAGAGGGGTTACAGTTACATAAATCAAGTAATGAGTACTTTTCAACAATGTCACCTCTTCCCTCCTTTTCTGTTTTTCCCTCCCAACCCCTCCCCCACTAGTTGTATAGTTCATTTCCAACATAGTGTCTAGAGAGTATCACTGCTGCATTTGTTCACCCTTTGTCCCTCCATTTCTGTGCTCCGCCTTTTTCTCCCCCAAACAGATAAACTTACATAGACTCACAAGACAAAAGGTACAGAAGTCAAAAACGACAAAGGAGAAAAAAGAAGTAAACTAACAACAACAACAAAAAAAACACTCTTGTTTCCATTTCTTGGAATTCATTTTGATAAATATCATTTTATAAAAATATAGCATGCTTGAAATTTGCAAGTCATCCTTATGCAAGAGCCAGACTAATCATCTCTGTATTGTTCCAATTTTAGCAAGTATGTGTGCTGAAGGGAGCACCATGAGATTTCTATCTCTTTAATTAACCATTAAAAAAATGCTGTGGTTCAAATAGTAGAATACCAGCGGAAAAAGCTAAGGGACAGTGCTCAGGTTCGGAGTTCAAGCCCCAGTATTGGCACAAAAAGAGAAAAGCCAAAGTCTGTTAGGGGCTGGAAAGCAGCCTTGGGTTAGTTTGGAACTCATCCCCAGATCTCAGCCTGCTGAGTAGCTAGGATTACAGACTTGAGCCATGTTGTCGGTCTCCTTCTCTGACCCACCCTGCCCCTCTCTGAGGTTTGCCTTCCCTTCCTGTAGTTGGTGGCTATGCCAGCTGCCTTGGGTGGGAGTTCTGCCAGAGCTACTGTGGATTCAAGCCATTTGAGTAACACCGGGCTCTTCCTAAGTACTCTGAAAACTATGTTCTGACATACCATTGTGCAGAGAGCTTCAGGAACATGCTAGGTACAGAACGCAGGGGAAGCTTGCGGGAGGTCACACGGAAGGAGACCGGAGATGGGCTCCCCATCCTTCTTTCTTGGATCCACTTAGCTAGCCCTGACCTAGCACCTGCTGTATGTCAGGCTCTGGGCTGGGTCTCTGCCCGGGGAGGTTCGAGACCGCGCCCAGGTCGGGTCGGTCCCAGTGGCAATCCAGCTGTCTCCAAGATCCAGGACAGATCCCCGCCTCTCCTCACCCCCTCCCCACTTCCCCCGCGGGGATCAGGGCACAGCGCCCTGCCCTGCGTCCTCCCTGCGGGGCGGTCCCGGGTTTGGGCGGACTGGGCGGGCAGCTACTTAAGGTCTGGGACGCGAGGCTGCGAGGCTGCGGACCGGCTCTGACATTGCACTGTGGCTGCCATGGCGCTGCACGGCTCCTCCGCGCGGCTGGGCGCGCTGGTCCTGGCTCTGTGCGCGCTGTCACCCGCCCTGGCGGCCACCACGTCTCGGGGTTCAGCCCCGGCGCCAGCACCCCAGGGGAGGGGGACCCAGACCCGGGTGAGTGCCCAGAGGGGGTTCCCTCTCCCCCCGACACGGGGGCTCCCGGAGTAACTCTCTATTGTAAGTTCTTGCAGATACAGCGCTAGGAAAAGGGAGTAATTCAGGTCTAGAATGGAAAAACTGTTTTGTTGCTTTGTAAGTATCTCTTGCTGCTTCTGGGCTCTGGCCAGGGGAGGGGAGCGGGGGCCTCAGGGGACCAGGGCTGCTTCCCTTCCTTCAAGCTAACCTTACTTTAGAGGGACTTCTCCCTCACCCACTCCTTTTCCTTGTCTAACTTCTGATGGCCCCCACTGCTCTCCTCCCACCTTCTGATCTCTTCTCCCATGGATTCCCTCTCACTTACTACTTTCTCTCCTTTTCTCTCTCGCCTAGTCCCTTCCTGTTTCCTGTATCTCATCCCTGTCTGCTTAATTGTCATCCCTATTATTTATTCTCCTCTCTGCTCTTTCTCTCTGGTGATAACTACTCTTGGTCTTTCTGCCTTCTTCCCTATCCCATCTTTCTGATTTCTCCCATCTGATTTTGCTCCCCTCAGATCTCCCTTCCAGCCTGTGTGACCTGAGCCTGCTGGTGTCTCCCCTCGGGTTCTAGCTTAACCATCCTGCCCGTCTCCATGCACGCCTAACAAACAACCTTTCTCATCCTTGACCGCCCCTCCAACAGGCTCCTGCAGATGCAAGGCTGCGTCCTCTCCACCTTTCCCAAGAAATGGGACTGTGGGGTGGTGGATGGGTGGAGGACTGGGTGGGGGGCAGGAGGGAGGAGGCAGACAGTGCAGGAGGCCACTTGGGCTTAACAGGCCAGTCCAGTCCCTTCTTGGCAAGTGATAACACAGGTCATGTTCCTATCCTCAGTAGGCTGGGCCCTCACCTTTCTTTGGTCTTCGATTTCCCACAGTGGGGCTGGATGATGAACTCTCTGAGGGCCCTTTAGCTCTAACAGCCATAAAGGCACCAAGAGGCATAAGATGAGTCCCGGGGCTCCCTAGATTTGCCACTCTTGGGGGACAGGGGAGTGGGGAGGTTTACCTATAGTCCAGAAGTGCACGCTCCCTTTGGACAGTTTCCTCCCTGGCAGAGTTGGTCTACCTCTCTGTGCCTCAGTTGTTATGATCAATTGATAATAAAAAGGGAAGGGAGAAGAGAGGCAGAGACCCTGCCTACCTCTTCCCTATCGTCTACCCTCTGACCCAAAAAACCGGGTGAGGGAGTCCTGTACTAGGGACCCATGCTAGTCAAGGCTGAGGATTTAGAGCATAATCTCTCAGCTTTCTAACTCTCAGAAAAGGGTCCACTTGCCTTGGCCACGGGGACAGCTGGAGGCCCAAGTGAGAGGCTCTTGGTGCTGGAACTCAGCCTCCCTCATGCCCAGGGTTTCTCCCTGCCAAGACTTCTGTGTCTGCTGAGCCTCTGCCCCCTCTCTCCCCAGCCTGGCAGCATGGTGGTGGAACACCCTGAGTTTCTCAAGGCGGGGAAGGAGCCCGGCCTGCAGATCTGGCGTGTGGAGAAGTTTGACCTGGTACCTGTGCCCCCCAACCTCTACGGAGACTTCTTCACGGGCGATGCCTATGTCATCCTGAAGACGGTGCAGCTGAGAAATGGAAATCTGCAGTACGACCTCCACTACTGGCTGGGTGAGGCTGACCCACCCAGCCCCTGCCCCATTCCCAGGCTTCCCACCCCCATACAGCAAGAACCATTGAGGTACGCTCCCCCAGGGCATGCCAGCAATCCAAGTGATGACTGGACCCTAACTATAGGCCAGGCCCTTGCTAGTAGTTGCTGCACCCCAGACTCTAGAGCCTACTTGGCTCTAGAGTTCAGATCCCAGCTCTGCCCCTGACCTCTGCCCTGCCTTTGGCTAAGTTCACCATATCTCTGTGGATGAGACTCATCCATAGAGAAGAAAGGTGAGGGTGAACACCAGTTTTGAGGACCCTGGATCCCCTCCATAACTTCTATGGTCCAGCTCCAGTGACATCCCCTTCCCCCGCAGGTTTGAGACCTGTATAACATAGCTCTGTTCTGCAGTGCTAATTGTCCTGTGTTCCCCTCACTAAGTTCACAGGAGGCAGCGGCTTGCTCAGCTTCCATGACTGGACCCAGGCAATGCTCCTCTTTTCCCTGGGACTTGAGACCACCTTCCAGAAGCCTGGCTCATGCTTTTCTAATGTCTCTAGGTGAAAAGTGTAGCCAGGATGAGAGTGGGGCGGCCGCCATCTTTACCGTGCAGTTGGATGACTATCTGCATGGTCGGGCTGTGCAGCATCGTGAGGTCCAGGGCTTTGAGTCGGCCACTTTCCTTGGCTACTTCAAGTCTGGCCTGAAGTACAAGGTGAGTTGGGCTCCATCTTTTGAGTGTCTAGGATATATATATATATATGCCCCAGTGGCAGGATGCACTCAGGTCCAGGCTCTTCTGGCCTCATAGAATGATGGATGGACAGGCCAGAGGTCAGGCTTTGGAGTCAACCAGCCCTGGGTTTGAATTTTGAACTCTTCCTAACAGTGTGATCTCGGATAAATCAGCCTCCGTCTCTAAGCTTCTGGGGAAAAGAAAATTTCCAGTGATGTCATAGGGTTATCTTCCTTAGACCCCCAGCAAGTTCTCAGCCATTAGTGGAAACCAACCATTTTACCTGGTACCCTGTAGTTCTGATCCTGAGTTTCTTTTGTTCAAGGCTAGCTAGTACTCTGTCACTTGAGCCACTCACAGACTTTCTTGTCAGAGCTGCCTTCGAACCACAATCCTCAGATCTCAGCCTCCTCAGTAGCTAGGATGACAGGCGTGAGTCACCAGCACCCAGGTGATAAGATGTTTTTAGTCTCATTTCTCTTCTGCTCACTAGACTCCCCCTTGAACTTGAACTCTTAGGAGTTGGGCCAAGACAGACCTCTTTCCCTAGGCCCCCAGCCAAGTGAGGCTGAGCAAAGCCATGCTAGGAGCCCCAGACAGCTGGGAATGTGTGACCCGCAGCCCCACAAGCAGCTTGATATCCCTAAGAGCCTGCCTTTCCTCCCCCACCTCCTCCAAGTTCCCAGAGAGCCAGTTGTACCTGCCCTGCAGGGCTGGGGAGGATTTGTTGAAGGAACAGCTGAGAAATGCCTCATGTGGAACTTAGTTTCTTGAAGGGCTCAGGGATGGCTTGGATTTACAAAGCTAGGTTCCTCTTTTTTTTTTTTTTTCTTCTCATTCTTCCCATGAAACCACCATTGCCCTTCCTGGAGAGTTCTAGAGTGAGATCAAAGCCTTGTGTATGTCACCCATGTATGCCATGCTCTCTCTCAGAGCTGCGTACTATGAGAGCGGTCACTGCCTCTCTGGGTCTAAGATCTTCTGTGTCTACAGGGCCGTGACTTTATCTTTCTCAGGTGAAGCAGAGACTGAATGATGGGCGAGTATTCATGAGACGCAGATAGCAAATGCAGGGTGTGGCCTGGGTTTGGCCAGGCAACCTGGCCTGGCTTCCCTGGCATCTGCCCAGGGAATGTCTGCCAGCTTACCATGCAGAGCTCCTGCTACTGAGCTGCACAGCCATAGCCACTCCTGGACCCTGAAGAAGGAGAGGTGGGAAGGTGGGGAGCCAGGCCCCTGGACAGGAGAAGGACTGGGTCTTTTCCCAATCCCCAGGACAGGAAATGGGAGAGTGCTTGGAGAGGTTCCAGCCAGACCAGGACACAGGTACTAAGGCCATTCCTGACACCTGTGAGACTCTCAGCAAGGCCCACCCTCCTCCCCTCCACCTGTTATTCATTCTACAGTTTCAAGTCCCCATCTCAGCGATGCCTGCTTAGAGTTGCTGCAGCAAAGCTGGCTCTGCACTGAGGACATGCGTTGTCTTATTTAGACCTTCTGGTTGCCCTCACATCATAGGCTAGTGGTGCCCATTTTACGGATAAGGAGACCTGAGACCAGTAATTGACGGAGATTGCTTCAAACCCAGGCTTGTGCGGCCTTCACTCTCTTAGGCTCTGAGCCAAGCACAGGGTGACCACCTAAAGCAAGGTGGGTGATAGGTGGCATCCCTTGCGTGCGGAGTGTGGCAGGTCTCCTCTGAGGGGTTCAGAGACTAGGAGGAGTGTACTCAACTCTGTGCCTAGTCATCTGTGCCTTAGGGGCTAGCTCAGCACGAGTCTGATATAGTCACAAATATGAAAGTTCTCTAGGACAAAGGAGCATTTCCCCAGATCTGCCAGTGCTGAAGAGCAGGTGACAGGCTCGTCCCCCAGGTTTGTGAGAATAAATAAAGATGATAAGAATCACAACCACACAGGAAGCCCTTGCTACTGTCTCGATTCATTCTCATTACAGGCTGAGGCTCCCTAAATCTAGCCCGCAGAAGGTTCTTAACACCGAACGCTTACATTGCTCTAACTGTGCCAGGGATTTTTTGGAGCAATGGTCCTGTGTGTGTCCAGTCCTGGAGCTTGAACTTAGGGCTTCGTGCTCTTGCTTGGCTTTTTCACTCGGGGCCAGCACTCTACCACTGGAGCCATATGTTTCTGGCTTTTTGATGGTTAGTCGGAGATAAGAGTCTCATGGCCTTTTTTTTTTTTTTTTTGGTTGGTCATGGGGCTTGAACTCTGGGCTTGGGCACTGTCCCTGCACTCTTCAGCTCAAGGCGAGCACTCTACCACTTGAGCCACAGTGCCACTTCCGGTTTTCTAGTGGTTTATTGGAGATAAGAGTCTCACGGACTTTCCTGCCCGGGCTGGCTTTGAACCGTGATCCTCAGATCTCAGCCTCCTGAATAGCTAGGATTACAGGCATGAGCCACCAGCGCCCAGCCTCATGGTCTTTTTTTGTTCCCTGTCTAACTTTGAACTGTGATCCTCAGATCTTGGCCTTCTGAGTAACTAGGATGACAGCCAGTTCTTCCAAGTATTTTACTATCTAATTCATTTTACCCTATGTGATTGATAGCTACTAGTGTTTGTACCATTTTTAAAATAAGTACGGTAAGGTCCAGAGATGTTAAACAACTTGCTCAAGGCCACTCAGCTAGCAAGTGACAGAATTGGGAATCAGGGCTGGGAAGGTGGCTCAGTGGTAGAGCACTTGCCTTGCATGCATGAGGCCCTGGGTTCGATTCCTCAGCACCTCATAAGCAGGAAAAAAAAAAGCTGGAAGTGGCGCTGTGGCTCAAGTGGTAGAGCACTCTAGCCTTGAGCTGAAGAGCTGAGGGTCAGCACCCAGGCCCAGAGTTCAGGCCCGCAACTGGACCCAAAACAAAAAAACAAAACAGAATTGGGAATCAAACTCAGAGGTGAAGAGTCTAACTCAGAGCTGGTTCAGAGTGGACATTTCAGGGTTCCCTGAACTTCCCACCTTGGTTCAGATGGCATCTAGCATTTCCTCCCATGCCCTGAGATGATTTTTCTTGACATTCTTAGGGATGATTGGGGAAGAGAGGAGGGCCCTAGAGAGTGGGATCTCTATCAGGCCCCAGATTTGGGACTTCAGTCCTGAAAGGTACTGGCATGGTGGAAAGGTGAAGTTCAAGGCCAGTCCTGTTTACCACCTTCTGCGAGTCCTCTGGCCGCCCCCGCACCTGGCAGGCCCAGCCCAAGGCTCTCAGCCCTGGTGTCCTCATCAATTATAGATCCGGAGGAGCAGGGCTTGTTATGCAAGACTTGTTCCTGTGAAAGCCTCTTCCTGGGAGCCACGTCTGACCCTGGAGTGTGAGAAGGGGCAGGAAGGGGTCAGGAACCTCTAGGAAGCCTCTGGTTTGGGGTCTGACCCCTCTTGTTCTGAGACTCCTCCCCCTACCCCACTTCTTAAGGCACTGCCCTGAGATGGTTCAGAATCCCTTGATCTTCTCCCCATCCCTCTAGAAGCTCTTCCCCTCCATCTTCCCACAAACTCTGGGGTCCCTCTGGGGCTGGGTTACTTGAAACCCTTTGTTCAAGTAGAATCTGGGCCTGGCATAGTCCTAGGAGCCCCGGCTTGAAGAACAATTGGAGATGCAGTCATGGGAACCTTTTCTCTCCCATTTCTCCCATTTTCTTTCTCTCTTGTATTTTTTCCTTTCTTTCTTCTTTCTCTCTTCCTTCTCCCTTCCTCCCCCTTCTCTCTCCTTTCCTTCCTTACTTCATTCCTTCTCCCCCTCCCTTCCTCCTTCTATTTCCCCCTTCCTTCCCTTCTTCCTTCCCTTCTTCCTTCCTTTCCTCCTCTCTCTTTCTCTCTTTCTCTCTCTTTCTCTTTCTTTCCCTCCCTCCCTCCCTCCCTCCCTCCCTCTCTCTCTCTCCCTCTCTCTCTCTCTTTCTTTCCTTCTTTCTATTCTGAGACTTGAACTCAGGGTTTAAGTGCTGTCCCTTAGCCTTTTCACTCATTGCTAGTACTCTGTCACTTGAGCCATACCTCCACTTCCAGCATTTTGGTGGTTAATTGGAGATAAGAGTCTCGTGGACTTTCCTGCCCAGACTTGCTTCAAACTGTGATTCTCAGATCTCAGCCTCCTGAGTTGCTAGAATTACAGGTGTGAGCCATTTGGTGTCTGGCTTAAGTATTCTTTTATTTTATAGATACAGGAAGAAAATAAAGGATGAGAATAAAAAAGTTTGGGGGGGGGATATGGGAAGGGATGATAAGGGGAAACAAAGGAGGAGGCAACAATGCTTCGTAAGAAATGTACTCATTACCTTGCCCATGTAATTGTAACCCTCTGTATAGTATTTTCACAAACTAAAATAAAACAAAAGTTCTAAGGGAAGAATTAATAGCAGAGCTAAATGACATAAAAGCAACATTTTTTTCTTTCATAAGTTTCCATTTCTAAATATTTGAACATGTCAGATATTTCAGGGGTATAGGAAAACAAGTGAATGAGCTTTGTTTCTGCCTAGTGCCTCATTCCTTGTCTCTAAAGAATTGGCAGAAATGATCTGTGGGTCCCTTAAGCACCCACTTTTAATTTTTGCATGTCCTGGGGCTTGAACTGAGGGCCCGTGCACTGTCCCTGAGCTTCTTTTGTTCAAGGCTAGCACTCTACCACTTGAACCACAGCATCAGTTCCAGCTTTTTCTATATGTGGTACTGAGGAATCGAACCTAGAGTTTCATGCATGCTAGGCATGAAAGCTACATTCCCAGCCCTGAGCACCCACTCTTTAGGAAAGGTTTTTGAGACCCAGCAGAGTGGAGTCTATCAGTGCTTAAGCTGATGGATGATAAAGCTGACCCAGAAGATAGAACTTGGGGTGAAACTCAGAGCTGTTGCAACTCGTGGGGAGCCTAAACATGCTTCACCTCTCTGAACCGCCATGCATTGCCTAGAAGTGGGGCAGTGAGAGCCCTCCACCTCCCGGGTCAGCAGTGGGGACCGCATGGCACGTGGACCGCAGTAGATGATGCTCAGATGATGCCCAGAGGATGCTCAGCCAGTAGTACCCCATAGTCCTCCCACAAATGAAGACTGGGTGGCTGATTTTCTGTGCAGGCTGCTGTACTTTACCCATTTCCCAGCAGTCTCTCTGAGCCTTCCTGCCTCTGTACTGTACCAGTTCTCAGGCATCTGCTACACCCAGTCCCCTAGGCCCCTGGCCCTACACCCTAGTACCCAAACTCAATTCTTCCAGTGATGGGAAAGTTACTGGTGGCCTCTTAGGTGTGGGTGGGCAAGTCAAGAGTGGCAGTCACACGAGGTCCTTGATACCGAGTGACCCAAGGGCCCTGGACATAGCGTGCAACCACTCTGCTCAGCTATAGGAAATATTGAAAAGTTTTGTGGTCATACCAAGAAGGGACACCAGGGGGTGCTCAGCTTCTAACATTTCCCAAAAGTGGGGTTTGCCAAACACTGGAGCTGTTAGCACAGGATGTGGTCTTGAAAGTGGTTCTTCATCATAAGACTGGGTGATTCTGTATACAAGAAAAAGCAAGCTGCGGGGCACCAGTGGCTCATGCCTGTAATTCTAGCTACCCAGGAGGCTGAAAGCTGAGGATCCCAGTTCAAAGCTAGCTGAGGCAGGAAAGTCTGTAAGACTCTTAGCTCCAGTTAACCACCAAAAAGTCAGAAGCAGAGCTGTGGTTCAAGTGGTAGAGTGCTAGCTTGAGACAAACAAACAAATAAAACAGAAAATTCAGGGACAGCACCTAGCCCCTGAGTTCAAGTCCTAGTATTCCCTACACTTTGATCATGGAACCCTGAGGAATATATATTTTTTTATTGTAAAGGTGATATACCAGTGGGGTTATAGTTACACAAGTCAGGTAATGAGTACATTTATTTTATTTATTTTTTTTTGGGGGGGGTCTGGTCGTTGGTCTGAACTCTGGGCCTGGGCGCTGTCCCTTCGCTCTTCAGCTCAAGGCTAGTGCTCTACCACTTGAGCCACAGCACCATTCCGGCATTTTTCTTTTTGCTTATGTGGTGCTGAGGAATCGAACCCAGGGCCTCAGGCATGCAAGGCAAGCGCTCTACCACTGAGCCACCTTCCCAGTCTCAGTACATTTATTTTTGAACAGTGCCACCCCTTCCCTCGCTCTCTCCATTTTTCCCTCCCACCCCCCTCCCCCATTAGTTGTATAGGTCGTTTTTAGCATAGTGTCTAGTGACATGTTCACCCTCTGTCCCGCGATTTCTGTGCTCCCTTTACCCTCCCCAAATCACTTACGTAGACTTATAAGACTAAAGGTACAGAGATTAAAAAAAAAAAAAAACCCAACAAACCAGCAACAGAGGAGAGAGGGGGGAAAAAAAAAGCAAAATACCAAAAATCCTCCTGTTTCCATTTCTTGGAGTTCTCTTTGATAAACATTTTATGTGATGATACATACGCCCATAGCCATTGAGCCTTTGTGATCTGAGGAATATCTTGAGGAAAACAAAATTAAATAGGAGTGTAGAAGAATGCTGATTGTGAAAGAGAATATTTGCTGTTCTTTGACCCAGGAAAGTGGCTCCTGGGGTCACTTTTGAGTAGATTATGAGATTCAGTGGGATTCAGTCTGTAGGGAATCTAATACTCTTAGCAGTATTCACTTGGGAAAAAAATTGTTCCTTTTCGGACCCGTTTTCCTTCCTGTAATGGCCGTAAGGCTGTCCCAGCCTTAAACTGGACAATTGGAATGGTCAGGTTTGTGACTGGCCATCTATCTGCTGTTGGAAGGCCATTGCTCTATCCTATGCCCTTTCTCCATCACTGGATTAATGCTGTTCTCTTGACCCAACAGGAAGGAGGAGTGGCCTCAGGGTTCAAGCACGTGGTACCTAATGAGGTGGTGGTGCAGAGACTCTTCCAGGTCAAAGGGCGGCGTGTGGTCCGTGCCACAGAAGTGCCTGTGTCCTGGGACAGCTTCAACAATGGCGATTGCTTCATTCTGGACATGGGCAATGTGAGTCCTGCCTACCCTTTCCTGAGGGCTCCAGAGCTCAGGCCTGACACACTGGTGAATAGATGTGTGGACATGGGTGGGACAAACCACAGACCTGAAGTCCACCTCACTGTGTGGTGAACTGAGGCTTTGATGGACACATAACCTCCTCTGCCCTGTAGGCTCTTGCTTGGCAGGCGCAGACATGAATACTGTGTACTATGATCAGTACACTCCCACACAAACAAGCGGAGACACGTGTGTGTATGTTGCACATGTATTATAATGTAGCTGGTACATGATAATACCCCAGGCCTGACTGATACTGATGCTTTGTAACATGCAAGCCTTACAGGTCCCTTTGAACATGAACCTGCAAATGGCTATAGCCAGACATTGCACCCCAAACTCATATGCATAGTTGAATAGTGTTCATATTGATTTAGTGTAAGCTCTCTCTCTCTCTCCTTTTCTTTTTTTTTTTATGAGACAAGATCTCACACTGATGTAACCCAACCTAGCCTTGAAGTCACTATATAGCCCAAGCTGGCCCATAAACTCACTATCCTCCTGCTTCAGCCTCCCCAGTGCTAGATAACCAGTGTCCGTGACCAGGCTTGGCTTTAGAATAATCTTGAGTGTATACCTCTACTGATTTCACAAAGCAAACCCTGGCATGTAACACCAGATTAAGAAACATCGCTTACCCCTTCTCAGCCTTTTCGCTAAGATCAAGTTTAGTATCTATTTTTTTTTTTTTTTGGTCGGTCGAACTCTGGGCCTGGGCGCTGTCCTTCAGCTCTTCAGCTCAAGGCGAGTGCTCTACCATTGAGCTACAGCGCCACTTCCGGTTTTCTGGTGGTTTATTGGAGATAGGAGTCTCACGGTCTCTCCTGCCCCGGCTGGCTTTGAACCTCGATCCTCAGATCTCAGCCTCCTGAGTAGCTAGGATTACAGGCGTGAGCCACCAGTGCCCGGCTCAAGTTTAGTATCTATTCTTACCAGTTTAATATCTAAATGTGTCCTCCATCTGAGTACACATTAATAATTATATATTATATATTTTAATTACATTTGTATATTATAGACACATATATTTGTATTAAATATATGACTATATAACACATTTAAATAAAGGTGTTTTATGTAACTATATTTATATATTATGTATAAATTATATCATATAGTCTTTATATTAAATAGAGATTTGAAATTAGGAGTTGGAATAGAAGCTGGTTCCACCCACGGCTGGCATTGGCACTTGTAGGAATGGTGGAACATCTCCTCCCCCTCCCCCGGGGGGAATCAAGAAAAAAAAGGAAAAGAAACAAACATCCGCAGTCCTTATTACCTGCTTCCAGTCCCCGTGCTTCCCCAGGGAGGGCATTATCCAGAAAACTCTCAACAACATGGGTTTGTTTTGCCTGCTTCTGACTCTTCCACATACCCAAACACTCGCCATTTTGTGTCTGCATCCTTTCGCAGCACCTTGCATTCCTGAGGTTCGTCTGTATCTCTGTCTTGACTTATAGGTCACCTGTTCTCTCTGCTTCCTAACTTTCAACTGATTTACCTTTTTTTTTTGCTGCTGCTGAGCACTTGGGGTGGGCTCTGGTTTGGGCTCCTCAGGACAACCTTCCACCGGTCTCTAGGTAGACTGTGCTTCTGCTCTGTCTCTCAGAGCAAGATTGCTGGCTCTGAGGGTGTAGGAAGACTGAGCCTTAGTACCTACAGCCAAGTGGCTTTCCAAAGTGCTGGTACCAAGTTATCTTCCCACTGGCAGGTGTCTCCATCCAATCTCTGTTGCTATAGCAGAATACCTGGACAATTTATAAACCAAAGAAGTTCATTTAGCTTATAGTTCTGGAGTCTAGGAAATGCAAGGTCTGGCCACTGTGTCTGGTGAGGGCTCTGTACTGCTTCATCCCCCAGCAGAAGTAGAAAGGGTGAGCAGTGAAAAGTGTGTAAATGGCACAAAACCCAGGGGGTGAGCTTACATTGTAACAGAATCAACCCGCTCCCTCAAGCACGGCCTCAGTATCTCAAGTGACCTGACCCTGTGAAATTTCCTCCCACCTTGATCACAATGACCACCAAACTTGGAGGAGATACCTAGCAGTACTCTTTTTTGTGTGTATATGAGTGACACAACTAGATGAAGTTACAATGTAGGGGGGGGGAGGAAATACTGCATAGCCCTGTTCTCTGATGGGCGGGCCACACTCACTGTACTTGGTAACACCTGTGTGGCCCTGCCAGCCCTCTCCTGGGTGAGCACAGACCATAGTGTGTCCGTCCCTCCCCCCCTCCAGCATCCTCCTTGGCATGAGCTGGACAGGGCATGTCAGAGGGCCAGGGCATGACTTCCTCGTGTCTGTCTTCCAGAACATCTACCAGTGGTGCGGTTCCAACAGCAACCGATTTGAAAGACTGAAGGCCACACAGGTGTCCAAGGGTATTCGGGACAACGAGAGGAGTGGCCGGGCCCAGGTTCACGTGTCTGAGGAAGGTGCTGAGCCTCAGGAGATGCTGCAGGTACCCACTGACGGCCACAAGGGCAGGGGCAGAGGGCAGGCTGCTTCTGCCTGCCTCCTGTGATGAACGGGAGGAAATAGTTCCACAGGGCCTGGCATTGCTGGGAGATCACACTTCCCCAAGAGCCCAGTGAGAAGCCCGGGTGCATGCTGGGAGTGTGAGCTCTGAAGGAGAGCTGGGAGAGACCATCTCCCAGCAGCCCCTGGGGCTAGCTGAAGTCCAGCGCCTCTCTGATCATCTGTGGTAGATTTGTCAAGGACTCAATAGGGTGATGAGGTTGTCAGCCATTGTGCTCTGAGGCGGAGTCCATAGAGGCAAGCCAGGGTTGCTAGCCTCCATTTGCCTGCAGGGGGAGGGGGTGATACCAGAAAGAGCAGTGGGGTGATTTTGTGGAGAAGAGGAATGTGGACCCCAGCAGCTGGGCTGGTAAGGCCAGACAGGCCTAGCGTGGAGATGTGAATGTGCATTCAGTCATGGGTGCCAGGATGCAGTATGACGGCATCTGGGCCACAGGAGAGCCAGTCAGCTGTGGTGCAAGCAGGGGACCTTGTGAAGGGCAGTCCTGGGGACGGATGGCAGGGAGCAGGGGTCTGACAGGCAGATCTGGTGAGTGCCACATGCAGGAAGCCTGGGAACGCACAGAACTGTCATGGAGGGACAGCCTGCCCCTTGAGGGCCCTGGGGAGTCTTTCCACATGGCTGTTGGCCGCCAGGGAGCTCCCAGAGAACCCTGCAGACCCATGACCCGCTGCTCTCCCACCTCTCCACCTTCTGCAGGTGCTGGGCCCCAAGCCAGCTCTGCCTGAAGGCACAGAGGACACAGCCAAGGAGGACGCCGCCAACCGCAAGCTGGCCAAGCTGTACAAGGTGAGCCTCTGGGCGTGGGGTCAGGACAGGCCCCGCCTCCTCCCGCCCCGCAGTGCTGTGGGGCCTGGGAAGTGTATGGAGGGAGGGGCTTCCAGTTCTCATCCTATGGGTGCCATGCATTCCCATTGCCTTCCTGCAGGAAGAATGTGAGTGATAGACACATGTAGGCTGTGCTTACACATGGGATCCACCAAGCTCTCCCCTCCCCTTCCCCCTTCCCCTTCCCTCCTCTCTCCTGCCCTTCCTTCCCCCATCCTTTCCTTCCTCCTCCTCTTCTCCCCTCCCTTCCTCGCTTTACGCTCCCTCCTGTCCCTCCTTCTTCCTTCCTCCTCCTCCTCTCCCTCCCCTCCTCTCCTCTCTTCCCCCTTCTCTCCTTCCCTTCCTTCCCCTCCTTTCTTCCCCTTCCTTACCCTCCCCTCCTCTCTTCCTCTCCCTCCCCTCTTCTCCCTCCTCTCCTCTCACTCTCCTCCTCTCCCCTCCTTCCCTTCCTCTTCCCTCCTCTCCTTCTCTTCCCTCCCCTCCTCTCTATCCCCTCCTCTCCCTCCCCTTTTCTACCCTCCCCTCCTCTCCCTTCTTCTCCCTCCCCTCCCCTCCCTCTCTCTCCCCTCCCCTCCCCAGTCCCCTGGGTGTTCCTACAGTGCTCCAGACACTCACGTGCGCCTCCCTCTATCCACCCTCTTAGGTCTCCAATGGCGCAGGCACCATGTCTGTCTCCCTGGTGGCGGATGAGAACCCCTTTGCCCAGGGGGCCCTGAGGTCCGAGGACTGCTTCATCCTGGACCACGGCAGGGACGGGAAGATCTTCGTCTGGAAAGGTAGTGAGGATGAAGCAGAAGTCCTACCTGGGTGTGGAGAGCTTAGGTGGGAATCCCAATGGCTTGCACACTCCGTGCCGGAGAGGGAAGAGTGTGGCAAGCACCTGAGTGGGTACCATGGAAATCGGGGGTCTAAGGTCACACCCTAGCTGTTGCAGTCAACTTGATGGGTGATCTTGGGCACTCAACGCACCCTCTCTGGGCCGAATTGGATAGGATAATGCTAGCAGTAGGACTTGCGCCATCTAGCTGCCCACTAGAGCCATTCACGAAGGTGATGTGGTTTCTGTTGAGCAATCTCATCTAGCTGTACACTAGAGCCATTCATGAAGGTGATGTGGTTTCTGTTGAGCAATCTCATGCTAGAGTTGTATGGAATTTTTTGCAGATGAAAAAAAACAAACACATCAGTATTGGGGATTTAACTCAGGGCCTCTTATTTGCTAGGCCAGTGCTATACCATTGAAGGAATGCCTTCAGCCCTTTTGCTTTTCAAAGTTTGTGTGTCCAGGTGGGTCTCACACTTTTGCCAGGCCCTCTTCTGACTACCATCCTCCTACTTTGCCTCTCAAGCGGTTGGGACTACATGGTGTCTGCCACAGTGCCTGGCGCATGCAGAATATTTATGGGAGGCTCTTAGAGGTCACTTAGAGTCCCAGAGGTGTTCCGAGAGGATCGTGAAGGTCCTCCCAAGGTGCTCTGAGACCAGTTCTGGAAAGAGGATGGAGGGGTGGGGGGGTGGGGAGAACATTATCAAACATGTGCAGTGCAGTGGTTACAATTTATATACTCTGGGCTCTTGAACCTGGGTCTTGAGACATCTGGGCGCTGACAGGTGACCCAGGAGCTCACCTGGAGCTGGGAGGTTCTCGGGGTTGGGACAAAGTTGCCTGTGCAGTGGGGAGGAGCCCTTGGCTTCCGCCATGTGCAGGCTTCTCAGTCCATGGGGCAGAGTCTGAATCGTAGCTTCCCACCTGCCACGTGGCCTTGGGCAACCCCCAAAGCTCCCTGTGACCCCAGAAGCCCCACTTTTATCCCCTGAGACTGTTGTGTGGATGACATGAAATCCGCATCAGTAAAGGAACCCAGTGGTTATGGTGATCGGGATCATCAGCCACGACCCCAGACAGGCACCTGGGAGTCCTCAGTTCAGCTCAGACTCCTAATGCCCTCCTCCTCCCCCCATCCCTGTGTGGCGGCCCCCAGGTAAGCAGGCAAACACGGAGGAGAGGAAGGCTGCCCTCAAAACAGCGTCTGACTTCATCTCCAAGATGAACTACCCCCGGCAGACCCAGGTATGTCTTGGAGGCGAAGCGAGGGCAGCGGAGGGCTGGGTGGGAGGGAGATCTACACGTGGACCGGACCCTTGGGGTTCCCCTGATGCCCTTTTTGGGGTCATCTGGGTATATCGTGCCCCTCCCTGCTTCCTTCCCAGGTTTCAGTTCTGCCTGAGGGCGGGGAGACCCCACTGTTCAAGCAGTTCTTTAAAAACTGGAGGGACCCGGACCAGACAGACGGCCCGGGCTTGGCCTATCTCTCCAGCCACATCGCCAACGTGGAGCGCGTGCCTTTTGATGCTGCCACCCTGCATACCTCCACCGCCATGGCCGCCCAGCACGGCATGGATGATGATGGCACAGGCCAGAAACAGGTAGCCCTGGGGGCCCGGGGAGGCCGGGCTGTGTCCTGGCCACTTTGTCCCTCGATCATTCCCAGACACCCCCTGGTCACTGCACCATCTCTACTCCTGGAGGCTGTTTCTCTGTCTTCCACTGCTGATTGATGAGATTCTGATGATTCCTTCATCTGGGGAGTCAGTGTCTCTACTTTGCCACCAGGTGGCGCAGCAGAGCCTCTTGACCACTTGGAACAAGTCAGGTCTTCAGAGTTCTGCAGAGACTGCCAGCCAGCCTCAGGGATTCTTAGTCTCTCTAAGCGGCTGGAGTTTGAGATTGACTGAGTCTAGTCCCTAGCCTTCACTGGGCTGGATTCATCAGGAGCTCCCCAGGGAGAGTGCAGAATGGGACAGGGGCATGTGTGATAAAGCCAGAGTAGGAACATTGAGAGTGGGTCCCAGCTTTGCCTCTGGGGGGCTCCATGATTGAGGAGGCTTTTTGTTTTTGTTTTTGTTAGTCATGGGGCTTGAACTCTGGGCCTGGGTGCTGTCCCTCGGCTCTTCAGCTCAAGGCGAGCGCTCTACCACTTGAGCCACAGCGCCACTTCTGGCTTTCTGGTGGTTAATTGGAGATAAGGGTTCAAAGCCCGTCTGGCTTTGAACCATGATCCTCAGATCTGAGCCTCCTGAGTAGCTAGGATTACAGGCGTGAGCCACTGGAGGTTTATCTTGAACATCTGGCTGAGCCCAAATGGAATCACCTAGGCAAAGCTATCCTGTCACCCCGCTGTGGGTTCTGTCTGGCTGAGGTGGGGAGGGGGTGGACACAGTGTCTGACCCCAGCTCTGCCCTGCCCTGACAGATCTGGAGAATCGAAGGTTCCGACAAAGTGGCTGTGGACCCTTCCACCTACGGGCAGTTCTATGGTGGCGACAGCTACATCATTCTGTACAACTATCGCCACGGTGGCCGCCAGGGACAGATCATCTACAACTGGTGAGAACATGGGCCTTCAGTGTGTTGGGGGAACGTAGGGATCCTTGCTGGGGAGGAGAGGGAGTGGAGTTAGTGGGGCATCAGGGGAGGTAGGACACCCATGCTCTCCTGGGAATAGTTCTCATTCATAGGCAGTGCCTATGAGGTTTCTAAGTGACCTTCCCTTCCCCTTCCCCTTGCCTTTCCTTTCCCTTCCCTCCCCTCCCTTCCCCTTTCTTTGCTTCTCCTCCTCTTCTGGCAGTACTGGCATTTGAACTCAGGACTTGGTGCTTTCTAGGCAGCTCCCTTGCTTTTAGTTCTGCTCTGGCCGACCCTGAGTGATCTTCCTATCTCTGACTGCTGAGTATTGGGAATTACAGCATACATGTATCACTACACCTAGCTTGTTCTTGAGATAGGGTGTCACTAACTTTTGCTGGGCCTGGCCTTGAACCTCAGTCCTCCATCCTCCTACTTTCACCTCCCACCTTCAAATAGTTTTTAACCTCCTCATATAGAAATGCACCATGTCTATTATGGGAGAGGTGGTCTGTTAGAAATAAGCAAACCAATACAACATCTCGCACAAAATCTATGTGAAGCACTGTATAAGTTTATCCCTTTAATTGTCTTTTTTGTGTGTGCTAGTCCTGGGGTTTGGACTCAGGGCCTGGGTACTGTCCCTGAGCTTAGTTGTTGTTGTTGTTTTTTCTGAAGGCTAGTGCTCTACAAGCTAGTGCAGCCACAATTCCACTTCCTATATAGGTTTTAAAAATTAAATTATTTTTCCCTACCCCACAATATGTACAATTGTTACATATATCAATAAAAATCTTTAATTCTTCTAAAGCAGGATATAATTCAAAAACAATCTCAAATCACAACAGAATAAAAAGGTGCTACTGAAAACTCTTATTCTCCTTTCCTACATGGGTCAAAACTTTTCAGACTTCCTAGATGCCCTTCCAGCAATGCTGCATGCAAATGCAAGCAAATATGACTCATTGTTCCTAATTCTCTTCCTTGTTTGCACAAAAGATGGTTCACTATAGTCCCTCCCTCCCTTCCTCCCTCCCTCCCTTCCTCCTCCCTTCCTTCTTTCCTTCCTTCCTTCCTTCCTTCCCCTTTCCATCTCTCCCGTATATATGTATATATGTATATTTGTATGTATGTATTTGTTTTATGCTGGTACTAGGGCTTGAACTAAAGGCTTCAAGCCTGTGCTCAGCTGACACTCTACCACTTGAGCCACATCTCTAGTCTGGCATTTTACTGATTAATTGGAAATAAAGTCTCATGGACTTTTCTGCCTGCACTGAGTAGCCAGGATTACAGGTGTGAGCCACCAGTGCCTTGTTGCTCCTTTATTTTTTGGCTAAGTTCTGGCTGGAGGCCAGTCGAGGTCATTATGTAGACAGCTTCCTTGTTTTAGTTTTTGTCAGCAGCTGTATAACATTCCTTTGTGTGCTTTATTTACCAAGTTTCCTGCTGGGACATACTTGGGTTGATGCTGCTGTACAGACTTGGGTTGAGCTGTTATAGGCACCACAGACTTTAATAACCTTAAGCAAACATGGGGAATGTTTAGGGAAAGTTCCTCCAGGCTTATGTCCCAGGGATTGCTGGGGTCAGAGTCCAGGAACTTGACATTTTGATAGATTGCACTGATTTCCCTTGACAGTACTTGTGGCAGTTCACATCTCCACCCTCTCCTTGTGAGAGTCTCTCCTAAACCCACACCAGCGGACTGTGTTCTCGTGCTTTTGGATGTTCATCAACTTGATAGTTTATACAGTGGTGTCTTGTTATACTTTCAATCTGTGTTTGGGTACTGGGGCTGTAGCTCAATGGATGTTTATGTGAGACCTTGGATTCAAGCCCCAGCACTAAAAAAATTTTTAATTGTATTTTTCTTACTACACAGCTTCCCTGTCTGATTATTAACTATGGGATTTTTTTTCTTTTTTAAACTTTTGATTTGAAATAATAAGAATCCTTTCTTCCTTCTTGCTGTGTGTGTGTGTGTGTGTGTGTGTGTGTGTGTGTGTGCATGCGTGCGCACGTGCCAGCTGGGGCTTGAACTCAAGGCCTAGGTGCTGTCCCTTATACCTTTTTTCACTGAAGGCTGGTACATTCACTCAAGTGAGCCACAGCTTCATTTCTGGATTTTTTTTTTTTTTGGGTCCGGTCGTGGGGCCTGAACTCTGGGCCTGAGCACTGTCCCTCAGCTCTTCAGCTCAAGGCTAGCGCTCTACCACTTGAGCCACAGCACCACTTCTGGCTTTTTTTTTCTTTTTGCTTATGTGGTACAGAGGAATCGAATCCAGGGCCTCAGGCTTGCAAGGAAAGTGCTCTACCACTGAGGCCACCTTCCCAGCCCCACATTTCTGGATTTTTTTGGTGATTAATTGGAGATAAGTCTCATGGACTTTCCTGTCCTGGCTGGCTATGAACCACAATCCTCAGATCTCTGCCTCCTGAGTATCTAGGATTACAGACGTGAGCCACCGCCACTCAGCTTATTTTCTGTCTTTCTGTGCAGAGAAATGTCCTGGCTACTTTTGTACATCCCACAGTTGGGTGTCTGAGCACCTGTCATGGCTGGCAGACCCATGGGGCCCATTTAGGATAGGGAAATCTGCTGTACTGGGATCTAAGTGAGAAGACAGGAGGCCCAGCTGAGATCGCTGGTTTGGCTCCTGGCTCTGGCTCTCCATCTCTATCCCCATCTCCATTGCATCATGCGGATGGTGTTTTCTCAGACTCTGGACTCTGTACAAACCTCAGTGCTTTGTCTCACTCCCTCTTTCAGGCAGGGCGCCCAGTCTACCCAGGATGAGGTTGCTGCGTCTGCCATCTTGAGTGCTCAGCTGGATCAGGAGCTGGGAGGTACCCCTGTCCAGGTGAGCCAGTCCACTGCCACTCTGAGATGTAGCCTGGGCCTTATCAATCCATCCATCCATCCATCCATCCATCCATCCATCCACCCATCCACCGTCCACCCACCCATCCATCCATCTGTCCATCCATCCATCCATCCATCCATTCATCCACCCATCCACCCACCCATCCATTCATCTGTCCATCCATCCATCCATTCATCCACCCATCCACCCACCCATCCATTCATCTGTTCACGCATCCATCCATCCATCCACCCATCCATCCACCCATCCACCCATCCATCCATCCATCCATCCATCCATCCATCCATCCATCCATCCATCCATCCATCCACATTGCAGGGCTTCTATGTGCTAGACATCATGGCTGCAGCCATGATGATCCAGATGGGCTTTCCAGTCAATGAAGAGACATTGAGTAAGAATGCATCATCACATCCTGTGATGTGAGCAGCCTGCAGAATGGTAATACACTTCCGGATCGGGTAGTAGGGTGGGCAGCCTGGCCAGGCCATTAAGAGGATGGATGTGGAGACAGCCTTCTTGGGTTTGAATCCTCCCTTCACCTCTGGACACTTCTGTGTCCTCCAAATAGGGATAATATTCCCCCCACCCCTCCTACCCCGCTTACAGGACTAAGCACTCATTACATTCATATGTAAAGCATTTAGAGCCATCCCTGACACAGAAGGCTCCTTCTTTATATAATATATGTGAAGTAGAAAGTCATAAATCCCAGACCTCCCTTCTTCCCAGAGAGACACTACAGGTAGGGCCTAACAGATGAGTAAGAGTTGGGCAGGTGTTGATTGAAGGAAAGCACAAACCAGGCAGAGGGAAGAGTTCTGTGCATCGAGCCTGAGGTGGGAGGGACATTGGATATCAGGGTGGGGAAGGAAAAGGGAGAGAGAAGGGAGAGGGGCCATGTTCTGAGGTTCAGTAGGGACAGGTCCCGCGGGGGTGATGGTGAGGGTGTTGACTTTGGCCTGGGAAAGGATTGGAATTTGCTGATTGGTGAATCTGAGCTCAGCAATGGGGTTTCAGGTTTCAAAGGTAGCTCTGGCTGCTGGGAGGAACCCTGGTAATGTGTGTGGCCAGGCCTTCCAGGGTTGATGGGAAGCAGACCTGGAGTTTATTGCTATATCTGTTGCCCTTGGCCTGGGCAGGACTCTGGTCTGGATCTGAGCTGGTGTACTGACAATCATGCTGGCCTGGGTGCCAGGTACTAAGTGAGATACCCACTCATCTTGCCGCAGAGTTGGCAGGAACAATTTGGGCCCCATTTTGCAGGGGAAGGTCCTGAGAGATTGGGGTAGGCCGCAAGTTCTCACCAGCAGGGTAGGGTTAGGGTCTGACCTCTGACCCAGCCCTAGCTGGTCACTGCATTTGGCTGTCTGGGGCCAGGCCTCCGATGTGAATGAGAAGGGCAGAGCCAGAAGCAGCTGGAGGTGACTGGCCTTGGCCAGCTCTCACCCCTCCCTTCCCCACTGTACCACTGGCCAAGCAGGGGGGTCTCCAGACCTGGAAGGCTCTTGGTGCCACTCTACCAGCCTCACATCTGGACCTGACATCACCATTATGGAAGAATGCCCACAGACAGTCCTTGGGCTTCCATTTAAGGGAATCTATGCAGATGTGGGCTCTCTGAGTTCTTGGACCAGACTCAGGGGCAGCACTGGAAGGAAGTCTTCAGTGGTGGGGGGGACGGGGGGGGGAAGAGATGGAAGAGCAGCCACGGACACCCGGGGGACCCCAGGCCCGGGCATCACCTTCAGCTTCCTGCAAGTCTGATTCCCCTGCTCTGCGCCTGCGTGCTGTGGGGTCCTGGTGCTGCATGCCAGGCTCAGTAATGGCCTTGTTTGGCAGATGGGCCCAGTGCCATAAAGAAGGACTGATGAGCTGGTGGCTCTCGCCTGTAATCCTAGCTACTCAGGAGGCTGAGATTTGAGGATCACTGTTCAAAGCCAGCCCAGGCAGGAAAATCCATGAGACTCTTATCTCCAATAAACCACTAGAAAACCAGAAGTGGTGCTATGGCTCAAGTGGTAGAGTTCTAGTCTTGAGCTGAAGAGCTGAGAGATAGCGCCTAGGCCCAGAGTTCAAGTCCCATGACTGACAAAAAAAAAAAAAAAAAAAAAGGACTGATCCTCTGTCCACCCTCCCCTGACCAGCTCTCCTGTCTCTCCGCTAGAGTCGTGTGGTGCAGGGCAAGGAGCCCGCTCACCTCATGAGCCTGTTTGGCGGGAAGCCCATGATCATCTACAAGGGTGGCACTTCCCGAGATGGTGGGCAGACAGCCCCTGCCAGTACCCGCCTCTTCCAAGTCCGGGCCAGCAGCTCAGGAGCCACCAGAGCCGTGGAGGTAATTCCGGGTCCTGGACCATAAGGGGAATCACCAGCTCTGAAATCTGTCAGGCTCCATGGGCAGTGCTCCAGATCCTGGGCAAGATTGGTGAAGTGGCGGGGGGGCGGGCTTTTCTTTTTCTTTTTTTTTTTCTGGGGCCTGGGTGCTGTCCCTGAGCCTCTCTGTCCTCAAAGCCAATGTTGTACCACTTGAGCCACAGCACCACTTCTGGCTTTTTTTCTTCTGTTTACGTGGTACTGAGGAATCGAACCCAGGGCTGAGCCACATTCCCAGCTCTGCGATTCCATTTTTCTGGACAGTGTTCTCCAGAGTTCTCCTTAACCCTTGACACTCCAGCCCAGATTCCCACACCACTGTGGTTAGTCACGGTGGATTCTAGGCTCAATGGGGACCAGGCCAAAGTTGGTTGGCCCCAGCTCTGGGTCTCCAGGGCTGTGAGGAAGGGGCTGGGGCTTTTTTTTTTTGTATCTGGTTTCTAATAAATTGGGGACATTCCCTTCTCAGGTAATGCCCAAAGCTGGTGCCCTGAACTCCAATGATGCCTTTGTGCTGAAGACCCCCTCCGCTGCTTATCTCTGGGTGGGCACAGGCGCCAGCGATGCTGAGAAGACAGGGGCCCAGGAGCTCCTGAGGGTGCTGCGGGCCCGGCCCACGCAGGTGGCAGAAGGAAGCGAGCCTGGTGGGTGGCGGCAGGGAGCCTGCAGTTCCTCAGCCATGTCCTGGGTTAGCTAGGAGCCTCTGTGGGCAGTGAGGGGTGGGTCTCTAGCGTTAAAGGAAGGGAGAGCTTGACGCTGGGTGGGTAGTCTAGGAAGGTTGGTTGGAAGAGGCGATTATTTGCTAGAAAGCCTTGAGAGACTCGAGGCAGGGTAATGACACCAGATCCGCAGCGATCTCTCCTTCCTCTTTTGAATCTGCTTTGTTTCCTGATCATCATTCAGGAAGTTCTTTGGGTCAGTCCTTAGCCTTTCCTGTGGGTTCTTCAGCTCTTTTTCCCTTATGGTGTGTTTGATGGAAGGAGGGAAGAGAGGCATTTATGCCTCTCGCAGATCTGTCCAATAGAAGCTTCCTGTCCAATAGAATGGACATGTTCTGTTTCAACCAGCTCCACTTTGATGGCGACTGAACACTAGAAATGCGACTAGTAAAATGAGGAATCAGACTTCTAATTGTATTTAATTGTAAGGAATTTAAATATAAATGGCCACGTGTGGCCTGGGCAGGCATAGACAGTGTGGATCAAGTAGAAAACACAGGGCAATTGAAGTTAGAAAATATTCTGCATCCTGGCTTTTACCACGTATCAGCTGTGTGACCTTAGGTGAGTTGCTTAATGTCTCTGAGCTCCTCATTTGTTGAGAGCGGATAATTATCCCCATCCTGCAGTCCTGCTGTCCCTTGCTGTGTGTCTACTGCCAAGCCTACCCTCTCTGGGCCTTCCTTTCATCATCACCACAGTCCCTCAGGCCCCTTTTCTCTCTGTCCACTGGGAGTTTAAGCTGAAGGCAGGGATGAGCATGGTTTCATGGGCTTGGGCAGGGTTTGTCTCCAGGTCTGAAAAGGCTAGGGGGCAGTGGCATCCCATTGTAACTCCTGTGGCCTTCCTCCCTCCTCTCCCCCCCACAGACAGCTTCTGGGAGGCTCTGGGAGGGAAGGCAGCCTACCGCACATCCCCACGGCTGAAGGACAAGAAGATGGACGCCCATCCTCCTCGCCTCTTTGCCTGCTCCAACAAGATTGGACGTTTCGTGGTAAGTGTACAGATGTCTGGCCTGGCCTGTTCCCCAGCTAGGGAGCTGGCTTGCCCCAGGGGCGGAGGACAAAGGGGTGATACTGAGCAGCAGGGGTAGCAGAGATGGTCTGAAGGACCAGTGTGGTAGAGCAGTTCTGCGGCTCCTGCCTTAACTTCCATTGGTTCTTCTCAGATCGAAGAGGTCCCTGGTGAGCTCATGCAGGAAGACCTGGCCACGGATGACGTGATGCTATTGGACACCTGGGACCAGGTGAGTGAAGGAGGGAAGGTGAGGCCACAGGCCCTCCAGCTGTGTGACCGGGTACCAGAAGGAGGTAAATTAAAGAGGCAGCGCTAGGTGTTGCCAGAAAACAAAACAAAACCTCGGCTTGTGACAAGTCACTTCTGCGCGCTCAGCTTCCATTTCCTCAGTTGCAGCTCCAACCACACAAAATGCCCGAGAAAGGCAGACGAGCAGTCAGGTGGCCTGTCTGTCCCCGTGGCCTCTGGAGAGTGGTGCCCTGGCTTTAAATTGCTCATCACTCAAGTGTGAATTGTCCCGCATCACCTGGAGCTTTGGTAGTGCCTCTCCGGGCTGAGAAGGGCCTGGGCTCTCTTCTTTATCTCCTAGGGGGAGACTGTTGAGGAGGACTCAGTGTAGGGGAATGGCATTCATTCATTTACTCATTCATTCACTCCTTCATCGAGGAGTAACAGAGCCCCTGGTTGAGTCAGTGCTTTTTTTGTTTTGGATGAAGTGACAAAGCAGTAAAATGAAGCAGAGGCAGACACCAGGTCTGGTCCTCACAGGGTCTGTGTGTGTGTGTGTGTGAAGTAGCATAAGATGTCAATAACTTTTCATACTCTGTGTACTTTGATGAATGAACAAATGAATGAGAATGTGTTTACCATCCATGTGACAAACAAACATCTTTAAAGGGATGATTCATGAACTTCTAGATCTCCAACTCAGTGTCTTATGGCACCATGTTGACAATGGTAATGGGTAAAGCAGGCTGGGGTGGGGATGCATGAAGGAATGGTGGGGTCTGTGGTGAAGTAGGACTCTCCATCAGAGGCACCACCACTGCTCCATTTTATCCAAGTCAAGGCAAAAGCTCAGTATTGCCAGATTCTCCCATTTTTCAAGACAAATTGGAATTCAACATGTTGGTGAGCCAGACATTGGTGGCTCACACCTATAATTCTAGCTACTCAGGAGGCTGAGATTTGAGGATCATGGTATGAATCCAGTCCAGGAAGAAAAGTATGAGATTCTTATCTCCAATGAACTATTTAGAGAAAGCTGGAAGTGGTGCTGTGCTTCAAGTGGTAGAGTGCTAGCCTTGAGCAAAAGAAACTCAGGGACGGTGCCCAGGACCCGAGTTCAAGTCCCAGGACCAGCAAAACAAAACATGTTAGTGGGTTATCACTTTGCAATCTCTGTTCCACATTCTTCCAGTCACTGTCTGTGGGTTTTGTAAAGGGAGTTTGGGGCTTTGTTCTGTCTGGTACCTGAAACCTTCTCCCCCAGCTGTGAATTTGGTCAGTGGCCTCCATGAACTTAGTATTTCTTATCTTCCCTCCAGGTGTTCGTTTGGGTTGGAAAGGATTCTCAGGAAGAAGAAAAGACAGAAGCTTTGTCTTCTGGTGAGGACTGATGTCTCTGTGGGAATTTGGCTGTGGGTTGGTGGGAAAAGCTTCTGGTATCAGTCTGGAAGGGGACTTCTTCCTCCATGGTTAGACCTGCCAATTAGTTAGTGTTAGTCAGCTTTCTATTACAATAGCAAATACCTTGAGATGATCAGCTTATAAAGAAGGAAGGTTTAGCTAGGCACCAGTGTGTCACACCTGTAATCCTAGCCCCTTAGGAGGCTGAGATCTGAGGATTGAGGTTCGAAGCCAGCCTGGGCAGGAAAAGTGAGTGAGACTCCTAATCTCTACTAAACTACAAAAGAATCTGGAAGTGGAGCTGTGGTTCAAGTGGTAGAGTGCTAGCCTTGAGCATAAAAGCTCAGGGACAGTGTGCAGGCCCAGAGTTCAAGCCCTAGGCCTAGCAAAAAAAAAGAAAAGAAAAAGACAAAAGTTTATTTTGGCTCACCATGTAAGAGGTTTCAGTGTATGGTCAGTGGACCCTGTTGCTTTTGATGAGGCAAAATATCACGGTGGGTAATCATGTGGGGAGAAAAAATATCCATTTGCCTCATGGTCGGGACTTAGAAAAAGAGCAAGAAGGGGTGGAGTCCCACTGTCTCCTTCAGCGACGTCCTTATCACTCCCCACAAAGTTCTCACTACTTTCCAAACCACAGCAGGTGGTGAAGAACAGAAAACCTTGAGGGTGTCTCAGGGGAAGGAAAAACAAACAAAACCCAACAGGTTCCCAGGATGCACAGGGGCTGAACTTGCCAAGGGTTCCATGTTAGACAGAGCTAGGGGTCGCTGAATAGAGTTGACTTAGTGAACACTCCAGTAAAGACCTTAGAACTTAGGCAAAACAGGAAGTTACGCCCTCAGCCCTGTCCCTTCCTGTCTTCCTGGCAGCGTGGTAGAGAAATCATGTGGGTGTCATTGCCTGGAAGGGATGCTGGTGTCCAAGGCAGGGGTAGGCCCCTCGTCCTGATGAGAGACACAGTAAGACTCCCCCAATGTCCTTTTCTTCCGTGTGTGTCTGCAGCTAAGCGGTATATCGAGACGGACCCCGCGAATCGGGACCGGCGGACCCCCATCACCGTTGTGAAGCAGGGCTTCGAGCCTCCCTCCTTCGTGGGCTGGTTCCTGGGCTGGGATGACCAGTACTGGTCCACAGACCCCTTGGATAGAGCCTTGGCTGAGCTGGCTGCCTGAGGAGGGGCACGAGCCCTCAATATCACCAGTCAGTGCCTTTTGGAACTGTTCATCTCCCAAAGACCTCATGGTGAGCAGGCCCACGCTGGGATGTTTGTGTGTGTGTGTTCGGATTTGTTTTGTTTTGTTTTATAGTAGCCAAAAATAGCCCTGCAGTCATTCAGGGTTCTTGTAAAACCATCTGAACTTGCTGTGCTTTGGAAATGAAATCCAATAAAAGCCTTTTGAAGTGTGTTTTCCTAGTGTGGCTTGGATCCCTGGCCCCTTCCCTTCTCACCCGATGCACACATCAGTTTCAATCCTGTGGCTGACCCAGGAAATTCAGGAGCTACCGAGATGCCTCCCACAGGCCCATGGCTGAGCAACATCCACAGCCTGGGCACAAGTCTCCAAGAAAGACTGCCACAACTCTCAGGCCATCCCAAGCCAAACGCAAAATGTTCTCTTAAAGTTTAATGCTATGAGCCAGGCACCGGTGGCTCAGGCCTGTAATCCTAGCTACTCAGGAGGCTGAGATCTAAGGATGGTGGTTCAAAACCCAGGCAGGCAAGTCCATGAGATTCCAACCAACCGCCAGAAAACCGGGAGGGGTGCTGTGGCTCAAGTGGTAGAGAGCTAGCCTGAGTGAAAAAGCTCAGGGACAATGCTCAGGCCCTGAGTTCAGGCCCCACACTGACAAAATTAATTAATTAAATAAAATGGTATGATAGTGGTAGTGTTTTTGTGCCATCTGTTCCCCTCAGCACAGGGATTGAGCCCAGGGCCTTAGTACATAGTAGACAAGCATTCTTCCACTGAGCTATAGAACCCAGTCCCTAGCTCTCCATGTTTTGTGCCAGTACTGGAACTCCAACTCAAGACCTTAGATTCTTGTTTGGCTTTTTTGCTTGTGGTTGATGATCTACCCCTTAAGCCATACCTCCACTATACTGCTAATCCTCACAAGTTCAATCTGCTGCCCAAGCTGTCTGGAGAAATCTGCTTTTTATAGCTGTCATCTGTAAGAACTACCTACCCTAGATGTGCCCAAGTGTGTAGTTTCTGGGTACTGGAACGGGACTCCTTGGTGCTCTACATGGTCCCCTAGGCCTGAGTCATTGCTTATGCTTAGGGAATCAAAAGGACCTCTTGGGGCCTTCCACCTACTGCTTCAAACCTTTTGTCCATGGAGGCTGCACATCAGCCCAGGGGGCGGCTGGATGACAGAGCCATCCGCTCCCTTCCGCTAGATCTCATCACACTCCCCCTCTTGCCCATGGTCTCCTGTGGATGGACAGAAGCTTCTGTGGACAGAACTACAGAAGAAGGCAGTGTGGGATTTATGTGGTGGGAAGTGTGTGTGTGTGTGTGTGTGTGTGTGTGTGTGTGTGTGTATGTTTACGCTGTCGTTTCCAAAGCTGGCTGAGCCCTGACATCCTCCAGGGAGCTTTTTAAAAGCATGATTCCCCAGAGGCCTTAACCTCTAGGGACTCTGCTTCATCACAGAAATGACGAGGGTAGGTGGATGGGGGAAGGAGTTTTCCAAGTGAAGTTTGGGGACAGGCTGAGTCATGTCAGGCAGAGGGTGTGCCAGGGCAAGAATACGGGGGAACCAGAACAGCCAGTGTGTGGCTGGAACAAGGTGAGGAGCGCTGGGCTGTGAAGCTGGACGGCAGGCAGGCACCTTGAATGCCATGCCGAGGGCTGTTTAGATTTTACCCTATATGGCTTGCTCTTGCCTACCCACCAAAGGCGGCTTTCATGAACGCATAATGTGCTGGAACAAAAGTAGCAGTTACCAATGGAGGCTTCTAGAACCTTCCTTCCTGGAGACAGTTTCAGGGTTGTTGAAACAATGTTTATTACTTCCTTGTGCTGGCATGTAGGGGTACAATTGTGGCTACAGGGGAGTTTTGCAATGTTTTGAGAAGGGGAATTGCCTGGGCCAATGGAACTGCCCTGGCTTCCTTAGCAGGTTTTAAAAAAATTATCTTAGGGGCAAAAGAGCAAATCAGGAGTAGTTTCAGTGCAACCACATTTTGTCTTCCTCATAGTTTCAGATTTCATGATGTTCCACAATGGAGAAGTCACTATGACACAGACTAAGAAGCCAGAATGACCTCGCTTGGAGACTGGGCAAGCCTAGGTTCCCGTATGGTGGTGTCTTAAGCAATATAACAGGTGTACTTAATTTTGAGCAAACCATTGGATATATAATGTAATTTTTTTTGAGTCGGGGATGTAGCTTAGTGGTAGAATACAAGCTTACCATGGATCAGTCCTCAGCACCAAAAATGTTTTCTTCAAGCACAGGTAGCTTATACTTGTAATCTTAGCTGCTCAGGAGGCTGGAATCTAGAGGATCAAAGTTTGAAGCCAACCTAGGCAGAAAAATCCATGAGACTCTGTCTCTAAAAATACCACAAAAATCAAGGAATGGCTCAAGTTGGTAGAGTGCCAGTCCTGAGTTCAAACCCTAGTACCACCAAAATGTTTTTCTTCTTGAAAAATAAGTGTGGTTTTTTTTTGCCGGTTGTGGGGCCTGAACTCTGGGCCTGGGCGCTGTCCCTCAGCTCTTCAGCTCAAGGATAGTGCTCTACCACTTGGGCCACAGTGCCACTTCCAGCTTTTTCTGCTTATGTGGTGCTGAGGAATCGAACCCAGGGCCTCATGCATGCAAGGCAAGCACTCTACCACTGAGCCACTTTCCCAGCCCCGAAAAGTAAGTTTTCTTTAAGCTCCCAATTCCCCCTTTGCAAATGGGTAGTAGTATATATATTACCTAACCCAAGATAGTATAAAAAGTGGCTGATGGCTTAAGCCACTTAAGTGATCTTAAGCTTGTTGTTTAAAAGGTTCTTCTTCATTTAATCTTAGCCAAAAGGCTGAGAAACATTAAGAAGGTTTTTCTTAACTCAGCGTATGACCTATCTAGTAAGGCCTCAAGATTGGAAAAAGAAAATTCAAAGAGCCTAGTTTGTTGTATACACTCTTGGTAAAGACACACTGTGCTGTGGGTCAGGTTGGATCTTTGACTGTAGGGCATGGAGAACCAAACTGAAACCACATAAAAGCAATGAGCACACTACATGCGAGTCCAGAGTTTAGGGGCCTTCATGGTTGACTCAATCCAATGGATTTGGGGTTCCTGTTGACTCTATGGGCTTTGCCCTCCTCAGTCTGGTAGCCAGAGATGTTAGCCAGGCATTCTGGCTTTCATCCATATTAGGGTAATGAATGCTTAGAAGAGAAAGGACTGTTCTAAAACATTTCCTAGACAAGGTTAGGAACAATTGATTCCAAATTTTGAGATTTTCCTCAGATCTTAAGAGTTCATATAGACCATTACTAACAAAATCATGAGCCAGAAGGGCACCACCTCCCACAATCCAATTAAATTTGTCCCTGCTCCTGGGAGCTCTTAAGAGGCCCCATTTGAACAATGTGATTGTTTCTGGGAAGGAAGGATCACTTCTTTTTGCATATCCTAGCCTGATATGAGCCAGGATCTGCTGTAAACCTGGTGTTACTGGCATTGGTAAATAATCTCAGTAAATTCAGGGATTTCCCCTAGCCTGATCAACACAACCAAATAGGATTATGAGTGGAAATGAAAGATAAGACAGACTATCTTGCATAATGCTTGGCTTACGCCTTCTCCCTGGTTTCCATGGGAAATATATCATTGCAACTGCAAAACTTTTTGAGGTTAGGATCTTACAGGTGATCTAATCTAGTGATTCTGAAGTAGGTTCATGTGTGTGTGGGGGGGGGTCATTGTCACTCAGTTAAGTATGCACATCTGTGTGGCATGCCTCTGTATTTCTCAGCTTCCAATGTATTTGCAAAACAGCCACGGCCTGAACAGGTGAACTATAATTTCATTTGACTGGTGAGGAAAGAAGTTGAGGGGAAAGGACTTATTCAAGGTCACATTATAAGCTGGGGAAGTAACCAAAGAGTCATAGAATTCTATAGAACTCTGTAGAATCTTGAAAGCACTTCCCAGGATTTTACAAATAGATGGTTCAAATTTCATTTTTAAAGCAGTAATAACACTTCTATAACTGATTAATATATTTTTAAAGCCTCATTTCTCATTGGTTTACTTTATGGTATGTTACAAATATGTACTTAATAATTTGTTCTAGTGAAAGGCACTTCAAATATTTTACTAATGTATAGTTTCTTTTGTGGGGTTGGGTGGTGGGGAAGTGGAACTTGGTACTGTCAAAGTTCAAAACCCCTAAGTAAAATGTTCTGGGTTCTGTATGGTTTAGTTAGCTGACTAACCTTGGGAAGATATGCTATTGAAATCACAAGATAAATACGTAGTTCAAAAACTACCACCTCAGCTGGGCACAGGTGGCTTATGCCTGTAATCCTATCTACTCAGGAGGCTGAGATGGGATCATGGTTCAAAGCCAGCCGGGGCAAGAATGTCTGTGAGACTCTTATCTTCAATAAACCACCAGAAAACTGGAAGTGGTGATGTGGCTCAAGTGGTAGAGTGCTAGCCTTGAGCTGAAGAGCTGAGGGACAACGCCCAGGTCCAGAGTTCAAGCGCCACAACTGACCAAAAAAAAAAAAAAAAAGCCAGAAGTGGCACTGTGGCTCAAATAGTAGAGTGCTAGACTTGAGCACAAAGAAGCTGAGGGACAGCACCCAGGCCCTGAGTTCAAGCCCCAGGATCAGAATAGAAAAAAAAAAAGAAAAACAAAAAACTATCACCTCTATAATAACAAATTAAAAAAAAAGAACCATGAAAATGGAAAGTACATAGAACTCTGGCTTCTTCCACTGAAGCCAGTGTTGTTATAACACGTATTGATGAACACACCAGCAACTCCTCTCATTTTTGGACTGAACTTTAGCTAAATCAGATGACCCAAAACTAAAGTGTAAAACTTTCTTAGGTATGGCTGCAGAGTCCAATGAGATTTAAGTCTTGGGAAATGTGTAATCTACATAGAAAATGTCACGGTGGCAGTGGTGTGTGTATAGGAAAGATGGAGACAAGTTGTGTCAAATGAAGCTACACTGAGACACTTTAGAAATCATCAGTATTAGGGGCTGGGAAGGTGGCTCAGTGGTAGAGTGCTTGCCTTGCATGCCTGAGGCCGGAAGTGGCACTGTGGCTCAAGTGGTAGAGTGCTAGCCTTGAGCTGAAGAGCTGAGGGACAGCACCCAGGCCCAGAGTTCAGGCCCCACGACCGGACCCCCCCCCCAAAAAAAAAAGAAGTCATCAGTATTAGAT